AATCAGCACTCCCGATTCACTGCCTCCTCGCCAACCAAATTATCCTTAAAAACTCTGACCCCCAAATTCTCGGGAGGCTGATTTGAGTAATAATAAAACTCTGGCCTCCTGTACAATCAGTTCTGTGTGAATTAAACTCTTTGCTACTGCAATTCCCCTGTCTTGATAAATAAGCTCTGTGTAGGCAGTGTCCAAGGTGAACCCTTTGGATGGTTACAAGAGGGTTATTCGGTGGGGCCGAGAGGTTGGTCTTGACTCTAAGGATGAAGAATTATGGTCAAACCCCTGGAGGGAGTTTTGCCTGCTTCCAGGTAACTCTGGAATCTCAGTGCTACCGAATTTGAACCAACACATGGGATGTGGAAAAGTGGGGCAGGAGTCGGGTGTGGAACAATCTAATACCTAACTAGGCCCAGAAATCCAATAAATATGATCACCAATGGAGCTTTAGAGATTTCCAGCAATCCTTTGGGTGACTGGGACTAGCCTGTGAGCTGTAGATGGTCCAACTGCCCTAAGTAAAATACAGTACAGCTGTATTGTGCTTTGTCTTCTGATCTCAACTTATCCCTCTTCCCAATCCGCCCACACCTATGCCACAATGCTCTCAGAAGTTGTGTAGCACAATGTACGAGAAGTTGCAAGTATTATTCTCAAGGAAGTACAGTATATGATGGGAAGCAGAGGGTTTTAGTCACCAAAAATCCTCTTAAGAAATAGAATTTCAGACGGCCGGGCATGGTGGCTCAAGCCTGTAATCCCAGCACTTTGGGAGGCCGAGGCGGGTGGATCACGAGGTCAAGAGATCGAGACCATCCTGGTCAACATGGTGAAACCCCGTCTCTACTAAAAGTCAAAAAATTCGCTGGGCGTGGTGGAGCGTGCCTGTAATCCCAGCTACTCAGGAGGCTGAGGCGGGAGAATTGCTTGAACCCAGGAGGCGGAGGCTGCGGTGAGCCGAGATCATGCCATTGCACTCCAGCCTGGGTAACAAGAGCGAAACTCCATCCTAAAAAAAAAAAAAAAAAAGAAATAGAATTTCAGCCGGGCGCAGTGGCTCACGCCTATAATCCCAGCACTTTGGGAGGCCTAGGCGGGTAGATCACGAGGTCAAGAGATCAAGACCATTCTGGTCAACAAGGTGAAACCCTGTTTCTACTAAAAAAATACAAAAATTAGCTAAGCATGGTGGTGCGCGCCTGTAGTCCCAGCTACTCAGGAGGCTGAGGCAGGAGAATTGCTTGAACCCAGAAGGTGGAGGTTGCGGCACTCCAGTCTGGGTAACAACAGCGAAACTCCGTCTCAAACAAACAAACAAAACAAAACAAAAAAAGAAATAGAATTTCTTTGTTGAAAAAATTCTTTGACAATTGCTTGAGGGTAGACACTGACACCTGAGGGGTACAGATTTGGGTGGACTATCTGCAGAAGGCTAGCAGATGGCTTTGTAGGTTGCTCCACAGAGGGAATGGGAAAAGGAGAGAGGAAAGATAAGAGATAAGATGAAACCAGGAGATGTGCGCTCCTTGCCAGCCTGTTACTTAGGGCAGCAGACATCTTTAATACCGTTAAAAGTCCATTTCAAAAGTGTCCTTCTTTAAAATATTCCAAAAAGTGTAGAAAATATGCTAAAAGTATAGACTCCTTTCAAGCACAATTATTTTGGTAACAGATGAAAGATGTATGGGATCTGAAGAGAAACCAGAGAATCAAGTACAATTATTTTGGATAAAAGATAGAAAAAGAAGAAGACAAATTTTAAAAAGAAAACATTGGCTGGGTGCTGTGGCTCATGCCTGTAATCCCAGCACTTTGGGAGGCCAAGGCGGGTGGATCACCTGAGGTCAGGAGTTTGACCAACATAGTGAAACCCCATCTCTACTAAAAATACAAAAAAAATTAGCTGGGCATGGTGGTGGGTGCCTGTAATCCCAGCTACTGGGGAGGCTGAGGCAGAACCTTCTAGAACCCAGAAGGTGGAGGTTGTGGTGAGCCAAGATCATGCCACTGCACTCCAGCATGGGCAACAAGAGCAAGACACCATCTCAAAAAAAAAAAAATAAAATAAAACATTTGCATATAAGGACTTTCTGAGTTTCTTACTAAGAGCCTGGTGAGCAGTAGGTGTTCCAAACTATTTGCTGCATGAGTGACTCTCCTACCACTCCCCACTTTCCCAACCTGTACTTCACACTCCAGCAACTACTTGTATTTCCTGTTTGCCATGCCTTCTCTCACTGTGTGTCTTTTGTGTTTGGAATATTCTCTGCCTATCTTTCCCTTCCCCACCCTCCTCCAAAAGGACACTCTCTTGTCCACTAAACAAGTTTCTACTCATTTTTCTCCCTGCCTCCTACCATCTCTCATGGGCAAGGCAGTCTCTCATTTCCACCAGGTTTGAACTAAAAAAGTAACAGAACTAGGCGGGGCACAGTGTCTCATGCCTATAATCCCAGCACTTTGGGAGGCCGAGGCGGGTGGATCACCTGAGGTCAGGAGTTTGAGACCAGCCTGGCCAACATGATGAAACCTTGTCTCTACTAAAAATACAAAAATTAGTCAGGCATGGGAGCAGATGCCTGTAGTCCCAGCTACTCGGGAGGCTGAGGCAGGAGAATTGCTTGAACCTGGGAGGCAGAGTTTGCAGTGAGCCGAGATGGCACCATTGCTCTCCATCCTGGGTAACAGAGTGAGACTCTGTATCAAAAACAAAAAACAAAAACATAGGCCTGGCGCGGTGGCTCAAGCCTGTAATCCCAGCACTTTGGGAGGCTGAGGCAGGTGGATCATGAGGTCAAGAGATCGAGACCATCCTGGTCAACATGGTGAAACCTCGTCTCTACTAAAATTACAAAAAATTAGCTGGGCATGGTGGTGCGTGCCTGTAATCCCAGCTACTCAGGAGGCTGAGGCAGGAGAATTGCCTGAACCCAGGATGCAGAGGTTGCGGTAAGCCGAGATCACGCCATTGCACTCCAGCCTGGGTAACAAGAGCGAAACTCCGTCTCAAAAAAAAAAAAAAAAAAACGAGAACACACCACAGAACTTCTCATTAAGGCCATCTCTGGCCATCTGCTAAAATGCCAGCATTCTCACTCCCACCCCCAAATCTTCACAGCCCTCTCCTATGCTTTTTCTTCAGTTCTTACTAATATTTAACATATTACATATTTTAACTGACTTGATTTGTTGTCTCCCTCCTTCAGTAGAATATAAAATCTATGAAGACATGGATTTTTGACTTTTTGTCTGCTCAAACTCCTGCCTAGACCAGGACTTGACATAGAATAAGTGCTTAATATACGCAGAATAGATGGATGGATGGATGGCTGATTGAAGCCGCAGCTCAGGGACCATCTGCACGCCCTAGGCAGATTTAGAAGTTCCTCCCCCTGTATCTATCTGCTCTTATCATATTTTATGAATACTTGTTTATAGGTTATTTTCTCCTCTGAGCTAAAAACTAATTTAAGGTTCAGGACCTAACTGCTCTTCATCTTTATATAATTAGAAGTGAATCTTTAGTGCTTGGTACATGATATGTCTTTTCTATTTTTATTATTATTTATTTACTTATTTTAAGACAAAGTCTTGCTCTGTCATCCAGGCTAGAGTGCAGTGGTATGAACATGGCTCACTGTGGCCTTGACCTCCTAGGCTAGAGCAATCCTCCCACCTCAGCCTCCTGAATAGCTGGGACTACAGGCACATGCCAGCATGCCTGGCTAATTTTTGTACTTTTTTGTAGATATGGGCTCTCACTATGTTGCTCAAGTTGATCTTGAACTCCTGGGCTCCAGTGATTCTTCTGACTCCCAAAGTTCTGGGATTACAGGCATGAGCTACAGTGCCCCACTGGTACATGCCATCAAATAAATGAATGATCATGATCTCATTTTACAGATGAGAAAACAAAGGTTCAGAAAGGTTAAATAACTTTTAAGGACACAACTAGTAAGCTACAGAGGTTAAGATGCTTACCCAAACATATTTCATATACCCCCTTTATTTTTCCTCGTCATACTATCTTTTTTCCTCCTGCCACCTCTGCCCTACCATGTTCTGTCTTGCCGTCACATTTTCTATTTATCCATAGTCCCATAGTCTGCCCACTACTGAGTACTAGTTCAAATTTCATGTATTCAGTGAAATCTTCCTTGATTACTCTTATTCATATTAATTTCTTTTTTTTCCCAGAAGGCTCCTGAGGTAGCTCTCAGGGTAAATGGGGGAGGTAAATGGGAGCTCTCAGGGTAAATGATACAGGGCATGTGTTGGAGAATAGCCCAGTAATGTCCTAAATGCATTCACACTCCATATTCAGACTCTCACTGCAAAGGCCAATTTGTTTTGCAGGTAATGGATAAAGAAGAAATCTCATCCTCCAGTGGTTGCCAATTTCAGGTAGTGTTCTCTCATGACATGGATATGCCTTCATAATGTGGATATACCTCCGAAGGCTGACATGGCTGATGATGGATGCAGTTTGTTTGTATTATTTGGCTGAGCTAAGTTCCCCAGGAGCAGCTGCAGAATGGAGCAGATTTACAAGGGTTATCTGGACAAACAACATCTCCACTTTGGGATTAGCATTTGGGACACCAGAAGTCTTTCCCTTCCTGTCTCCACCCCTGCTTCAACCCCTCCCAAACCTGACTCCTTCAGGGTTCCTTCATGAGAAGCAAAAGCTCATTTCCGATTCCCCATTTCCTCATGTTAATACATCCAAAACAGAGACGTTTTGCTGGCCCAACTGCTTTTATTTATTTTTTTAGTAGAGGAAAATATACCAACATTAGAAAATATTGAGTTTTGATGTTGATGATCCCCGAAAGGAATGCAAAAAGTTGCTTAGAATTAAAAAAAGTATGCCTGATATCCGCTTTCATTTCTCAAGGTGAGACAATTACAATCAGAATTTGCAAAAATCCACAATAAATTCTTCACTAATGCCTTTTGCACTTAAAATCTTTAGTAGATACCCTAGTATCTTATTCAGTGATAACTTGCCATCTTAGTCTGTAACTGTATATTTGGTCTTCAATTGTGACTACATAAAGTGCTGAAATATTTATAACTTGGGAAGCAGTAGAGAGTTATAAGTGTAGGTCTGGTATTAGACTACCTGAGTTCAAATCGCACTGCTATATCGTTTGTTAACTATGTGGCATTAAGTTCCTTAACGTCTCTGACAGCCTTGTTTTCCTCATCTTAAAATGGGATCCTATCATTTCATAAAGTTGTATTTAATATGAGTATTAATAATAGTTCTTTGAAAACCTGCTAGGAATTATGTCGAGCAGTTCAATTTCATTTTATCTAATTGAGAGAACAGGGCTTCGTACATTGTAGACACCAAAACACACTGAATGATTTGAGGCGGGGCCAATGAGGTCCGCAGCTGGCACGCCATTAGAGAAGTCACGAGTGGAGCTCAGTCATGTCTGCCCCCAAAGCGCCTGCGCTTGACCTCTACGTTATATTTACTTTGGCAATGTACAAAGTGCTGAGGATAGTCTAGCCCAGACGGCCCCTAATACACTGTCGTCTTCTTATCCCCGGCTCTCTACGTTAGACAGGGCTGCCCCGACTTGGCTGTGAACGCTGACTCGCCCTTTTCCAGTTGGCCCTTGCGCCCCTTAGTCCGGGATACAGCGTTTTCCTAAGCGAGGTTTAGGGGTGAGCTAGAAAATGTACCCGTCTTCATTCCTCTATTCTTTCTTCCCCGTAACGACAGGGTGAGTGGCGCTGGGGTTGGGACGCGTCTCCGGAGTCCCAGTACCCTCGGGACCCGCAGGCCGCGCGGAGGCGACAACGGCCCTGAAATTTGGAGCACTTGTTTCCAGCCGGACCGCGTCCTTAAGTACTCAGGGGCGCCGCGCATGCGCGCTCCGCCCGTTGCCGCGCCGGCCCTGCGGACGTGCGCGCGCTGCCTTCGCGGCACCTGGGCCTAAGGTGCGTGGCTCCCGGGCCCTCGCCAGCTCCAGGTGCGTGAGGAGGACTTCGGAAACCCGACTGAGAAGTGGAGCTACCCCCAGGGAGGGTCGGACTGCCTCAATTTCGCCAAGGTGCCTGGGGACCCAGAACGAGGGCTCTACAACCTCGGTTCTTGAGCTCCTTTTGCTTTCTCACTTCCCCACCTCTTGAGTGCGTCTCACGCGGAGCAGAAATCTGAGAGGAAGGCGCAGAGGGATTTGGGGATTTTTTTTTTTTCCTGCTGTGGGTTGTATCACATGTGGCATTTTTATCCTGACTGCAGCCAAAGCAGCTTTTACCCTTGCCTTTCCTTTACTGGCGTGGGGTTTTGTGGTTTCTCCACTCGGCTCCACCATTAAGTAGTGCTTATTATTGGTTGTGGGCGATTAGGACGAGGACTGTGTGTCAGTGTCCTTTGTCCAGTGTAGTCCAGCGGGAGGGAGAGGTGAGAGTTCAAGGCCAAGAGAATGGGCCCGGGGCTAGTGGGGGAGAAGCAGCCGCTAGAGATTATTCCCCAACTGAAAGTTGTGTGTGTTTCTCTTAGGTCTTTCATTTCTTGTTCGCTTACTTTCCTGAAATCGTCACATTGTTTTAATGGTACTACTAGTCAAGACAAGAAAATCAACAGGCTTTCAGCCTTGAGGCAACGTTGGATTTTATTGAGGTCAGTTTTTACAGTCTTCACATAGAATATTTTGTTCTTGTCAGGAGAAATTCTGGATTAAACTACTAAACAGATCTATTATTCTTTTATTTCAGTTTAACATAAGAAATATTACAGTCTCTTTTTTTAATGTTATCAACAAAAAAAGCAGTTGAAATGGGATTTGGAGTTCCATGAGTGCTTGAGGTGAGAATCCCTAACCTGACTCATAAATAGAAGATAAGATCACCACTTTGCCAGTAATGGTTCTAACAATATAGGGCTCCCAGTAAGTGCTTTTCCACGTGGTGGGAAGCAAGTGGCAATAGTTATCCAATCTAAGTGCTTACAATGGATGATTAACCATAGATCCTTTTGGTACAGGAGCTGTGGGTAGCCAGTCCCTGTTTAATCGGAGGTGGTTGTGGTGTGTGATTTTGTTTTCTTTTAGACATGTTCCACGAAAGCATTTATTAAAGGGAAGAAGAAACATACTAAAGGAATTGAATCTCGCTCCAGACCAAAATCCTCTGTGTGATCATTCAGTCCTGACATTGGACAGTTACCAGGCTTTGCTTGACTGACCTCAAGGGCGAAGCTGCCCTCCCATACCAGACTCGATATGGGCCAGTGCATTGCAGTTTTCTGAAGGGGGTTGCAGTCAAGGACTCACCCTGCCCTTCCTGCTAAATAGGCAAATCCTGTGACTTCTTTCCTAGCCTAGGTACCTGCATTTGGAGGCCGTCCTAAGAAGGACCCTGCCTAAGACACTTTTCTCCATTTTTGACCCAGCTCCTTTCATTCCTAGACCTTCTCCTCCCTTTCCAATTTTAAAGTTTCATAAGAGGCAGGAGACTTTTGTCTGGGGCTCCTCTTCAGCGAGAGCATTACCTCATCTGCACAGCATCAACTGACCCTCATCCAGTGTCCTTGTGTTTAATAGACCATTGGGGAGCCAGTGCCTCTTTTTGCCGCTTGCTTGCACTGTTACAGTAAGTGAATAAAGGCATGATTACTTTTGGTTTGGCTCATTGTCCTGATTGACTACCTTGGCACCTAATTGCTGCCAAGTTCTTTGCAGTTCACTGGATTCATGACTTAATTTTAATTATCATGACTGTTGCTCTGTATCGGCAGGTTTAGAGATTTTGGAGCTTGTTCACCTGTTATTTCTTTAATTCAAGGTAGTGGAAGTGTATATTCATAGCACCAACAGTTGATTGTTGGTAAGATTGATATCTGGGTTATATGGTATATTTTACTACTATGCTGGCTTACAGTCAGATTATCTTATTTTGTGTGAATTTGTGTGGCATTTTCCATTTGGCCTGTAATTAGATGATTTTTATTTAAAATAAATATTTTGGAATAATATGGGTGAAGCAAAGAAAATCAGACACTTGCTTTCTTTAGTAATCTTTTCTCAGCCTTTGGGTCCCCGATCTTTCTGATCTTAATAGCTTACTTGGCCACTTTGAATAAAGTGGTTGATTTGTTGTATGTTCCTCTGTCCACTGTGAAGAGGCATGTTAGTAACAGCTTTTATAAACTTTTTACTTATTCCTACAGAAGTTTCCCAAAACAATATTTATCCTTGCTACATAGTATGCAATCTGATACTTTCACTCTTATTTTTATCCCCTATTTTTACTTTTTTATTTTTATTTTTTTTTGTGATGGAGTCTTGCTCTGTTGCCCAGGCTGGAGTGGAGTGGTGTGATCTTGGCTCACTGCAACTTCTGTCTCCTGGGTTCAAGCATTCTCCTGTCTCAGCCTCCCAAATATCTGGGATTACAGGTATGTACCACCATACTCTGCTAATTTTTGTATTTCTAATAGAGACAAGGTTTCGCCATGTTGACCAGGCTGGCCCTGAACTCCTGACCTCAGGTGATCCACCTGCCTTGGCCTCCCAAAGTGCTGGGATTACCAGCATGAGCCACCATACCAACTTCAACTCTCGTTTTAAATAACAAAGTGCTCATCATGATATGCTAAGTTGAATTCACAGTCCATTTGTCCTGCAGTTTAAAAAACACTGCAATAAAGTAACTAAAGATACTTGTTCAGAAATTTTTTTTGTTGTTTCTGATTCATGTTGCTAAAGAACCACAGTGGGTATATTTGTAATTTGGGGTTGAAGGCATCTTCTAGGAGAAGATAGTGACACCATATTTGTTGGATGTTTGCCAGATTAGCTGACGAAAGAACTCCAGACTTAACCACTCTCTGATCTAGAAGATACATTATATTGAAAGAGCCAGCATAGCTTTTTAATTTTTTTTTTTTTTTAATCTGACTCCTTTATTTAAGGGTAATGCCATAATAGAGTAATAATGAGTAGAAAATTGGCTTTTCTGATAAAAGAAAAGACAAGGGTATAAGATAGTTATGAAAGTGCTTGCTAAACTTTTGGTTTTTTTTTTTTTTTTGAGACAGAGTCTTGCTCTGTTGCCCAAGCTGGAGTGCAGTGGTGCAATCTTGGCTCACAGCAACCCCTGCCTCCCAGGTTCAAGTGATTCTCATGCTGTAGCCTCCCAAGTAGCTGGGATTACAGATGTACACCACCACGCCTGGCTAATTTTTGTATTTTTAGTAGAGACAGGGTTTCACCATGTTGTTCAGGCTGGTCTTAAACTTTTGGCCTCATGTGATCTCCTTGCCTTGGCCTCCCAAAGTGCTGGGATTATAGGTGTGAGCCACTGCACTGGGCCAGTTTTTTAAATCTTTGTATTAACTTTTAAGTCAAAATTACACTTTTATTTTATTGCCTGGTGGGTAAAGCACTCTGAACTTTCAATTACTTAGTCATAGATTGGCTATATAACTAGTTTGTCAATTTTATTACCTCTGTACTTATCTTTTTGGGAATTTCACAAAAGAATGAAAAGGAGAAATAATTTTTTTTTTCTTTTGAGATGGAGTCTCACCTGGCTGGAGTGCAATGGCGCAATCTTGGCTCACTATAACCTCCGCCTCCTAGGTTCAAGTGATTCTCCTGCCTCAGTCTCCTGAGTACCTGGGATTACAGGTGTGCACTACCATGCCTGGCTAATTTTTCTTTTTTTCTTTTTCTTTTTGCTTTTTTTTTGAGATGGAGTTTTGATCTTGTTACCCAGGCTGGAGTGCAATGGCGCGATCTCGGCTCACCGCAACCTCCGCCTTCTGGGTTCAGGCAATTCTCTTGCCTCAGCCTCCTGAGTAGCTGGGATTACAGGCACGCGCCACCATGCCCAGCTAATTTTTTGTATTTTTAGTAGAGACGGGGTTTCACCATGTTGACCAAGATGGTCTTGATCTCTTGACCTCATGAGCCATCGCGCCCGGCCCACCTGGCTAATTTTTCTATTATTAGTAGAGACGTGGGATGGGGTGTTTAACCATGTTAGCCAGGTTGGTCTCAAACTCCTGACCTCAGGTGATCCACCCACCTCAGCTTTCCAAAGTGCTCATTACAGGCGTGAGCCACCGCGCATGGCAAGAAATTTTTAAAACCCGTAAATTTAGTCAGTGGGTTTATCTCTTAGTGAGAAACCCTTTAACATGTTACTGAAAAGATAGGGATAACATTTTAAAATTTGATTAGTGTTGAGCTAACATTTAAAATTTGATCAATGTTGAGTTAGATTTATGTGTTGCTTCAGTTTTTCAACACATTCATATATACATTATCTCCATTGATTTTTTGTTTTGTTTTGTTTTTTGACGACAGTTTGTTGTAGACAGTCTAGGAGACCTTTTCCCCATTTTACGGATGAGAACTCTATTTCCTTCTTCCTACCACTAAGATCATATGATGGCAAATCCAGAACTAGAACCCAGGTCTTCTGGGAATTTTCTCCTAGTCCACACTGTCCTTGTTGGTCTAAAGATGTAATTGAGAATAAGTCATGTTAAATTTGTGGCTAAGAAATCCAACTATGATCAGCGAACGTTCTATTCTCAGAGCATATTTATAATGTGCTATAATTGAATGCAATTGTATCTTATTTTCAGTATTGTGTTTTAATTTGTTATCTTTCTAGCCCATTTTTTAAAATGATGACAGCTAAATACTGGCAAATCTGTCTAATAGGAAAATTGGAATTAAAATATCTATTTACTGTTAAGAAATTTAACCTAGTCCTCATGTAATACAGCCTCTCAATTAGAAAAATTGCTTAAAATTGTATTTTTCTTAGATGTTTCTTTTAAAGGCTCAACATATCTCTGTATAAAATTAGTTATATTATTCTAAAGTATTTAAAATGATTATTGACTTGTAAACAGTAAGTCCAGATTCTCCTTTGCCTTTAATATCTTCAGCCAAAGGACAACTTAAAATACTTCTTTTTATATGAATAAATAATTTTAAAATTAATACATTTTTATTTTTAATTTTTAGACATCTGTGGAATTTAAGAACATTATGGAGCTCATCAGAGTATATCACTGAAGAATATGATGGCTGAAAACAATTTAAAAATGCTAAAGATTCAACAGTGTGTGGTAACCAACAAACTACCTAGAAACAGGCCATATATTTGCAATATTTGCTTCAAGCACTTTGAAACACCATCAAAATTAGCTAGGCACTATCTCATTCATACTGGCCAAAAGCCATTTGAATGTGATGTGTGTCATAAAACCTTTAGACAACTAGTTCATCTGGAGAGGCATCAGCTAACTCATAATCTGCCTTTTAAATGTAGTATTTGTCAGCGCCACTTTAAAAATCTGAAGACATTTGTGAAGCACCAACAACTTCACAATGAAACCTATCAGAATAATGTTAAACAGGTCAGAAGATTGCTGGAGGCCAAGCAAGAAAAGTCAATGTATGGAGTGTATAATACTTTTACCACACAGGAAAGATGGGCATTACACTCGTGCTCTAAGTCCGATCCCACATATAGCATGAAGAGAAGAAAGAATATTCATGCATGTACGATTTGTGGCAAGATGTTTCCATCACAGTCAAAACTTGATAGGCATGTACTTATTCATACTGGTCAGAGGCCTTTTAAATGTGTCTTGTGTACTAAATCTTTTCGACAGTCAACTCACTTAAAAATCCACCAACTTACACATTCAGAAGAAAGACCTTTTCAATGTTGTTTTTGTCAAAAAGGATTTAAGGTTCAAAGCAAACTTCTGAAGCATAAACAAATCCATACTAGGAATAAGGTTTTTCGGGCTCTTTTATTAAAGAAGAGGCGTACAGAATCTCGCCCCCTGCCTAATAAGTTAAATGCAAATCAGGGTGGTTTTGAAAATGGTGAGATTGGTGAATCTGAGGAGAATAATCCACTTGATGTCCACTCAATTTATATTGTCCCTTTTCAATGTTCAAAGTGTGAAAAGTGTTTTGAATCGGAGCAGATTCTCAATGAACACAAGTGTTTTCCTGCTAGAGGTGGCAAACTTTCAAGCAGGTTCAAAAGAAGCTACAACTATAAAACCATTGTTAAAAAAATCTTGGCCAAGCTTAAACGTGCCAGGAGTAGAAGATTAGATTACTTTCGATCTGAGAAAAAAGTATTTAAAAAGAGTTTCTTGAAAAATTGTGATCTTATTTCTGGTGAGCAGAGCTCTGAACAAACCCAGAGAACCTTTGTGGGTTCTCTTGGCAAACATGGAACACGTAAAACAATTGGCAATAGAAAGAAGAAAACATTGGCCTTGCCATTTACTTGGCAAAAGTTTCAGAGCCAAAATGTGGGAAAAAACTTGAAAGGTATCCTTACGACAGAAAACATATTAGGTATTGATAATTCAGTGAGTAAGAAGGACTTGTCAATCTGTGGTTCAACAGGTGAGGAATTCTTTAATAACTGTGAGGTACTTCAGTGCGGTTTTTCAGTTCCAAGGGAAAACATACGTACTAGACATAAGATATGTCCTTGTGACAAATGTGAGAAGGTATTTCCTTCTATATCCAAACTGAAAAGACACTATTTAATTCATACTGGACAGAGGCCTTTTGGCTGTAATATTTGTGGGAAATCTTTTAGACAGTCAGCTCACTTAAAAAGACATGAACAGACTCATAATGAAAAGAGTCCTTATGCATCTCTTTGCCAGCTAGAATTTGGAAACTTGAACAATCTTTCTAATCCAGGTAATGATAACTATAATGCTTCCCAACAATGTCAGGCTCCTGGTGTTCAAAAATACGAGGTCTCGGAGTCAGATCAAATGTCAGGAGTTAAAGCAAACTCGCAGGATTTTATTCCTGGTAGCACCGGGCAGCCCTGTCTTCCTAATGTACTTTTGGAATCAGAGCAAAGCCATCCTTTTGGCAGTTATTCAGAGAATCAGGAGAAAAATGAAGTCTTCCTGTACCGATGCAGTGTTTGTGCCAAAAGTTTCCGATCTCCGTCTAAACTGGAAAGGCACTACCTAATTCATGCAGGGCAAAAACCATTTGAATGCTCAGTTTGTGGCAAAACATTCAGACAGGCTCCTCACTGGAAGAGACATCAACTTACTCACTTTAAAGAACGGTCACGACCACGGGAGAAAGTGGTTGCCTTAGATTCGGTTATGTAAACTGTTGGCAACCACTAATAATTGTGGTCTCTGGTAATCTCATTTTTAAAGCCTGTATTTAAAATGCATCTGTATCCAAATGCCTGCATTAAATTGAATGGTTTCACAGGCATTTGCTTATCCTGCATAGTAAGAAGGTAAAATATTAATACGATGTTTAGAAACAGCCGAATGAATTTTTAGAGGCAAGAACATGATTTGATGCTATAAAGTAGGCATTTTAATACTGTAAACAAGCTTTGGCTGTATTGAAAAATATAAATCCATGATGCTGTACAAATAATTTAGTCTCATTTTTTAAAAGGAATTATTCATACCATCTCTTTTTAGATATACTCAAAAGTCTGAGATAACTCAAAAGTTAGATATACTTTTAGCTGCAGCACATAGCCCTGCTCTATTTCATTTATTTTACATTTCATGTGAAAGTTTTTGACCACGTGGCTCAAATTGCATTAGAAAGTTGGGGGTTTTTGTTTTTTCTTTGTAAATTTAAAAAACTACAGAGGCACTAACGGTGAAAATGGATGAGAAAATTATAGTATTGGTCTTTTCTAAGCTGTTTATATTTAGGATTATGATAATTTCACCTTCAGGTGATAAGGATTTTTTTTTTTTGGTCCAGTTAGTGCCATCTTTCTCAAAATAATTTAAAAGTAGACAGGCTAGGATATATCCATGTGCATTTACCTACCTTGTTTACTTACCAGGAATATTTTCCAAGTGCCATAGTCTTTTTGTTTTCCATAATGTGTATGCAGTTTTATCTTTTCAGAGGAATAATTTCAAATCATTTATTTGCTCATTAGTGATAGCAGTAGTCATAGATCTAAGACTCTATTCTAGAGATTTTCATCTCCTTAAGACTTTTATGTTTATTTTAGTAAACTTTTCTTTTTATGCCTCTTTAATGGAGTGGTCCTATTATTTAAGCCTGTTCTAAGTTTGATCAAATGGCAATGACTAGGTCTAGTTTTAGTTTTTACTTTTGCAAGAGTCTAATGCTGAAGAATTTTATTTTGATCCTTGTTATATTTTTATTTTAATTAGTAAAGTAGTCATTCCTGTAGAGGGATAAGATGCTTGTAGAGTTGTGGGTATCATTCCAAATAGAACTGTTATGTTTTGGGAAATATTCTAAACTACAAATGACTTATTTCATAATGACAAATTGTCCTTCACATTTGCCTTTGTTTATAAAATCTTCAAGAATGACATTTTCTAGCAATAAAAGGAATTAACCATTATGGTTCTAAGCTGAAAAGAGGAACATGTGGATAGTTATCCTACCACACTTAAATACAGTGGAAAATCTTCTATTGAGAATGTGGATAAATGAACAGTTGTAAGTTTTGCATCGTAATCTAAGAACTTTCTTTTGGGGGGGGGGAGGGGGAGGTGGGAGGGGTAGTAGGTGGGAGTGATCTGCTTGCTTTTGCCAGAGGTGATTTTTAAGTAACTCGGGTTTAATTTATGGAGATAAAAACATGACAATCCGAGTAAAATACCCAATGATGTATAATTGTTCCTGTTTATTACATAGATAGTAGACCTCCAACAAAAGCGGAGAATCACATGCTTTACAGAATACTCTCTTAGGTCCTTGAGATATATTCCTCCAGTGCAAACAAGATAATGGTTTACAGAATTTGCTTTACACAAAACTTCAGGGACTCATCATCTGTTACACAAAAGCAAGGAATAACTAGTTTATATTTTCCAATAATGTTCAAGTTTTTTTCCTTAATATGTCTGAATTTACTGATTTTGGTATTTTTCTAAGAAATTTATGTAATTTTATTTGAAGGAAATGTTTTACATACTCTTTTTCCCAACCTAAAGAGGGAGAGTCCTCACAGTGTTGTGCTTGTATGATTATGAGACTTTATTTGCTTAAGTGATACTACTATACTTTATTTTTGACCCATGACTTCTTAAGCTGTTTCACATTGAAAGTTGGAATATTGTAAAAATTTTGTCAAAGATGTACTGTAGTGCTATTTGAAGTACCTGTAACAAAACACAGTTGGCCCTCCATATCCATGGACTCTGCATCTGTGGATTAAACCAATTGCAGATCAAAAATATTAGGAGGAAATAATTAAAATAGTGCAAATAAAAAATACAGTATAACAGTTATTTAAATAGCATTTACATTGCATTAGGTATTAGTCTAGAGATAAAGTATACAGGAGGATGTGTGTTAATTATATGCAGATATGCTGTTTTATGTAAGGGACTTGAGTATACTTGGATTTTTGGTATCTGGGGGTGTGTGCGGTGGGGGGTGAGGCCTGGAACCAATGCCCTGTGGATACCAAGGGACAACTGTACTTATTTACCTTTATTATCATTGCAAGCTTCTTATGGAAACTTTATAGGAATGAAATATACATGTTAAGAAGATTAAACATTAGATATTAGATGGTTTGTTGCATGCTACAACTGTTAGTATTGTTAATTACTTTGGTTTTACAAAAAAAAAAATAAGTGATAAATATCTTTAAAGAGAACTAGAAGAATTTTTTGTTTGAGTGATTCCAGGCTGTAGCATGATTATTTACTGAAGTGGTTTGATTGGCTGGCTAACTTAGAATTATTGTTTCTTGTTTGGTATTGCAATAGGGCTTATAATTGTAACATAAAAATGTGTGTGTGTTTAAGGGAAGTAGGTGGTGGTTAAAACTCTTGAAATATTTTCAGAATACTTTAAAAATAAAGTTTCAAGTTATACAGTTTGGCCTTTTAAATTCTTTATTAAGGGCAAAAAAAATCACATAATATTGGAGCCAAGGTATTGATTGATTGATTGTTAGCTACTTTGGGTCCACTCCAATCTACCTTCTACACCAAAGTTACTTGGATATTTAATCATTTACCCTCTTGTTAACATTACATTTCCATGCTGTTCCCTTCTGTGGCAAAAAATAAAAAATCTCTGACAGCTTCTTTATCACCTACAAAAGAATATGTTAACTCCATTTTATGTTGTATGATCTACCTATTTATCTTGTTTATCCTCCTTTTTGACCTTTCTCTTCAAATTTGTACTAAATAAATACAGAATTCGGGGCTGGGTACAGTGTCTCAAGCCTGTACTCAGCACTTTGGGAGGGTGAGGTGGGAGGATTGCTTGAAGCCAGGAGTTTGAGACAGTCAGCAAAGTGAGATCCCTGTCTCTATGAAAAAAAATACATATATTTTTAAAGTCAAGTGAAGTGGTGGCGCACATATGCGATCTCAGCTCCTCTCAGGACACATAGGCAGGAGGATCACTTGAGCCCAAGTACTGGAAGTTCAGTGAGCTATGATCATGTCCCTGTACTCCAGCCTTCCAAGCCTGGGAGACAGAGCAAGATTGTCTTTTTTTTTTTTTTTTTCTTCCCTCTGGTCCTTGATTCAGAGATTGTCTCTTAGAAATATATATAGAGAATTGGTTTCTCCACTATACACTAGTATTGTTACTCTTTTGCTTTCCCTGGTATTTATCTTGTATCAATTTAAATTAGAACCATACTCAACAATCTGTTCAAAGAAGAAATTTAGCTGAGTCAGGTTTCATTCCTTTTCCCATTTTTTCATGATTATGGGGGAAAACCAAAGTGATTAAAACTGACTGCAAAGAACAGATTTCAATGTACATGTTATATAAGAACCAATTAGAATTATATTTTTGGACACAGCAACAGTCTTTGAAATCTTTTATAAGAATCTTTGTTAGAAAACTAACATTTGCTGCTGGTGTGGTGGCTCACGCCTGTAATCTTAACACTGGGAAGCCGAGATGGGCTGATCACTTGAGGTCAGGAGTTCAAAACCAGCCTGGCCAACATGGTAAAACCCGGTCTCTGCTAAATACAAAAAAAAAAAAAAAAAAAAATCTGGGCGTGGTGGCATATACCTGTAATCCCAGCTACTTGGGAGACTGAAGCAGAATTGCTTGAACCTGGGAGGCGGAGGTTGGTGTGAGCCTAAATCGAGCCCCTGTACTTCCCAGTGTCGTGACAGATCGAGACTCCATCTCAAAAAAAAAAAATTTGCAAGTACTGTTTTATGATGCATAATGGTGTCTGCTTTTTTGAAGCTCCAGGGAAGGAACATTTAATGCCTATCTTGTTGAGATTTCTCCTTATTGCGGGTTGAAGGGCTTAGAATTTAAGGGCTAATTCTATTAAGGTAATTCTATTAGCAGTAAGAGAAAAAAAGCAAATGTAACTGAAAAGTAGTATAACCGTATTACATGAAATATAGAACACGTAATATTTTGCATCTACATTGGCAATCTATTCATTGTTTGAAGTTTGATTTTTTTTTTTTTTTTTTTTTGAGGTGGAGTTTTGCTCTTGTTGCCCAAGTTGGAGTGCAGTGGTGCGATCTCGGCTCATGGCAACCTCCGCCTTCTGGATTCAAGTGATTCTCCTGCCTCAGCCTCCTGAGTAGCTGGGATTATAGGCATGTGCCACCATGCCCAGCTCATTTTGTATTTTTAATAGAGACGGGGTTTCACCATGTTGGTCAGGCTGGTCTCAAACTCCCAACCTCAGATGATCCGCCCGCCTCGGCCTCCCAAAGTGTTAAGATTACAGGCGTGAGCCACTGTGCCCGGCTGAAGTTTGAGCTTAAATACTACCTCCGGGAGCCTCTCTGATTTACCTAAGTTCTCCATCCCTTGTGTTCCCCTTACTTTTTGTTCATAACTCTGTTGATCTTCCACTAGAAACTAGTGTTTTCAAACTTGAGTGTGTGAATTGGGCTTGTTAAAAGCATAGATTGCTGGGCTGCATCCTCAGAGTTCCTGATTAAGTGTCTTTTAGGACCCCAAAATTTGAATTTAGTGACTAAGGTTAGTTGTGAGACTATACTCTGAAACCCACTGAATTACATGTTTCTGGAAAGAAACAATGAATCTATCTATATACAGAGGGCTTAATACTGTGGCAAACACTACGTCTTAAAATATATGTTGAATGTATGAAGAAAGAAATTAATGAATGGAGCAATTATTACTAAACTTATGTTTTCCTTAAATCCACAGTTTCACCTAGCTCCTTTCACTCAGAGGATGAGTTTACCTTCTGCTGTGTTGTGATCAAAGCCACAAACTTGTCTTCACTCAGAACTCTATCTCTTCTCTGCTTCTCTTCGTCTGTCTTAGGATAATGTTTCTTTGCCTTTCTGAAGCTAGCTTTTTTTCTTGCCCCCTTCTGGGAACTTAATAATCCCTTTTTCTGGTATCTAGTTTTCCCAGTTGTTTTTTCCCCTCTGCCTAAAACAAGACAATTTTTTCATGTGTTCCCTATTCAATAATAGTGCTTTTGGCTGCAAGTGAGAATACCTGACTCAAACTGCTTTAGCAATAAGGACCTTAATTAGCTTACATGACTTGAAAGTCTAGTGAGTAAATAAGCTTCAGAGTTGTTGAATCACATCGTTGAATTGATTGTGCTTCCTTTTGTCTGCTCTGCTTTTCACAATGGCAAAGCTATTTTCCTGTGTTTTTTGGATGCTTTATAATCAACACCTCATGCTCACTTCATAGGGGATAGGGCATAGCAGAGAGTGAGTGAGGTGGAAACTCTCACAAGACCAAAGGACAACTTTCCCAAAAGCCTACAGCAAACCTCTCCTTTCTCATCTGCCATAATTGCTTCACAAATCACATTTTTCCTTCCTTCCTTCCTCCCTCCCTCCCTCCCTCCCTCCCTCCCTCCCTCCCTCCTTCCTTCCTTCCTTCCTTCCTTCCTTCCTTCCTTCCTTCCTTCCTTCCTTCCTTCCTTCTTTTCTTCCTTTTTTTTTTTTGAGATGGGGACTCACTCTGTTGCCCAGGCTGGCGTGTGGTGGCACTATCTCAGCTCACTGCAACCTCTGCCTCCTGGGTTCAAGCCATTCTCCTGCCTCAGCCTCCTCCCTGAGTAGCTGGAATTACAGGTGTGAGCCACCGCTCCCAGCCCACATTTCTGAACCAATCACTGACAACAATAACCTGGAACTGAGGCTAGAATTCACCTTCCTTTTAAGCATTTGGTTTCCTGGAAGTAATATGGATACTGGTCAAATTTGAAGTTGTGTTTAGGAAGAGAAGTGAACGAATAAGCAATCAATGTTGTCCCCTGCACCTAGCTTAAAAAGATGTGTTTGTGGCCAGGCATGGTGGCTCACGCCTGTAATCCCAGCACTTTGGGAGGCCAAAGTGGGTGAATCACAAGGTCAGGAGTTCGAAACCAGCGTGGCCAACATGGTGAAACCCCGTCTTTACTAAAAATACAAAAATTAGCTGGGCATGTTGGCGCGCACCTGTAATCCCAGCTACTTGAGAGACTGAGGCAGGAGAATCACTTGAACCCAGGAGGCAGAAGTTGCAGTGAGCTGAGACTGTGCCACTGCATTCCAGCCTGGGCAACAGAATGAGACTCTGCCTCAAAAAAAAAAAAAAAAAAAAAGTGTTTGGTGGGGACTAACAACTTTTGTTTTATTTGTCATTCTGGCTACCATCACAATTGACTTTTTTCCTTTTGTGGTAAGAACTATGGCAAATTTATCTTCCACCTACATCTTTCGTGGCCTTTTCACTCACTAACTTCTTAGCCCTTTATTATTTAATATATGTTGTCTTCACCATCCTTTGGGAGTTGCTCTCTCAGTGGCTATTGTGGTGGTCTTTGTTGGTTGTAATGACATCTCCTCCCTTCACTGTGTATCTGCCAAATAGTCAGGGTTAGACTGACCTAGTTGGAGCTCAGCCATGGGTTGTGATCAGTCTAAGCCTGTCAGAATACTCACATCTCCCTTGCCATGATGACTGTTCAGGAATAGGTAACTCAGGTCTAAGCCAGAGTAATTGGCTTGGGGGTAAGCACCGACCTAGATTGATTCTATCAGAGCAAAACCATGTACTTATTTTAGTGATTCAGGAAGGAATAGTGGGTGTATAGAAGCAGCTCCCTACATTTTGGTACCCTGAGGGACACTTCTCTGATGACGAAGTCAGAACGCAAAGGGGATGAAGTAGTGGGGGCAAAGAAAAGAATCAGAGAAATGGAGCATAAACCTGATTCAACTGCCTGAAACCTAACTTATCACCAGATTTTATTACCACTCTAGATTTTATTTATTGTTAAGCCAATTTAGAACTAGATTTTCTTACAACGTATCACAATTAATAATGGTCACTAATGGTGTGCTAATTGCCAAACTCATGGACTTTTTGAAATTTGTGTCCTTTCAGATTTCTTTGAAGAAATCTGAATTTGACACTATTGACAATCTTGTCATTTGAAACCCTTCTTTCTTGACTTCCTGGTTCCTTTGCTTTCTGTCTACACAACATATTGTAGAAAGCTTGTAAAATAAAGATAAAATCATAAAATATACATAATTTTAGAATGTCAAAATCCTCAGTCAGAAACTTAGCTAAGAGAAGTTGATAAGAATAGAGAGAGCAAGGGGGAGGGAAGATATGATACAACATTTTGTCGTAAATCTTCTAGGTATTATACAATAGAACCATTTATGTTTTAGATCAGTAGAAAGCTACATGTGATCTGGACCTTGGTTTAATTTTTTGTTGTTGAGATGGAGTGTTGCTCTGTCACCCAGGCTGGGGTGCGGTGGCACTATCTTGGCTCACAGTAACCTCTGCCTCCCAGGTTCAATCAATTCTTGTGCCTCAGCCCCCTGAATAGCTGGGATTACAGGTTAATGCCACCACGCCAGCTCATTTTTGTATTTTAAGTAG